CATCGAGGCTCCCCCCGCCTAACACCTGGAGAGGTCAAGAAAGCAGTAAGTAACCTGGAACGAGGAAGGGCAGCAGGTCCAGACGGACTGATTCCTGAGGTGTATAAGGACGATGGTAAAGTGTTTTTAGTCAAGTTAACTGAAGTACAAACTAGTGTAAGGAAGTCAAATATGATCTCCTATGACTGGTCGCAACCACTGATGTTCTCAGTCCTAAAGAAAGACGAGAAGTCCTCTCATGATAACCACAGACGAACCAACATGATGAACATAGTGTCTAAGATTCTAGGTCCTATAATCATTAGGTGCATGAGAGGAGCTCGGAAAAAGCAAGCCCGAGAAAACTAGGCGGGCTTTAGACCTGTTCGTGGGGGTATCAACCGAATATGTACGCTTCGCGAGGTTCTTGAACACAGGCATGGTTATTGACGTCCATTAATAGCTGTATTTCTCGACCTGAAGGCGGCATTCAACTCTCATTGAAAGGGGTACCGAGTAAGTACATTACCTGATTGAAGAGTGTGTTAGAGTCAACGGTGAGTTGTCAGGCAATCTGTGTAGATCCAGTGATGTTCGTTAAGGATGCCCGCTCTCTCCAATCTTCCTCAATTTTGTCGTGTTCCTTTGGATGACTTTCTCTTATCATCTGACCACAGAAGGATTGACCTAACTACAGGATTTTCGGTAGACTAGAATACGCAGGTGATATAGTCCGGACAAGTGATAGCGTGTCTTACGATTAACAATGACTATAATAAACCTCGCCTGGTTAACTAGTTCACTAGTTACTAGCCGGTCCTAAGCCCGGGTAAACAGGGAAGGTTGGGCTAGCAACCCTACCCCATAAAACAAATCTAACCGCTAAACAAACTTCAAAGCACAAACAAAATATAAAAAATAATAACAAAATTATTCCTTGCTGGAATCGGAGAGGCGAAATGACGCCAGTTGGTGAAAGCCTGCCTTCGGGAAGCCAATTGGCCGATGTGTCTTCTCTCCCTCGATGAAAGCGAAAGTAAACGTGGGGACATGGAATGTCCGTACGATGTTTGAACCCAGCAAGGCTGCCCAGATTGCAAAGGAGATGAGAAGGTATCACATCGAAGTGCTTGGGATCTGCGAAAGCAGATGGAATGGGAGTGGACTCTCCAAACTATCAACTGGAGAATCAATAATCTACTCCGGTCACCCAGACGACAACCACGAGCACACTGAGGAAGTGGCTATCATGATGTCCCCAAGAGCATCGAAGGCTCTCATGCAGTGGGAACCAATCTCCCCCTCCAGGATCATGACAGCAAGGTTCAACTCAAAAGGAAGGAAGGTCACAATCATACAATGCCACGCTATGCACCTACATATAATGCAGATGAAGAGAAGAAGGAGGGATTCTACAAACAACTGCAATCAGTAATGGACAAGACGCTACTCCAGTTGGCGACATCAAAATTCTAATTGGTGGGGTGACATGAATGCCAAACTGGGAGGGGACAACACAGGAAAAGAACAAACCATGGGCAGAGAAGCGCTCGGTGAAATGAACGAGAATGGAGAATTGTTTGCAGAATTCTGTGCATTCAACGATTTGGTGATTGGAGGCCAGGCAGTGTGTTCAAGCACAAGGATATCCACAAAGCGACATGCATTTGATTCCACCAGATGGACATACTAAAAATCAGATCGACTTCATCTCAATGTGAAGAAAGTGGAGACGCAGTCAGCCTACTTGACACAAGGTCAAGAAGAGGAGCAGATGTAGGTTCAGACCACTCACTGTCCAGTGCAAGGAACCTTCCAAATCAAGTTAAAAGCCTTCAAGGAAGTTGGTGATAGACTTCAATTCAAGTACAACACTCGGAAACTGAAGGATGAAACTACAAAGGAGATCTTCAAGGCAGCCATCAAGACAAAATGGGAGATATCGAGGAACATTCCTGAAGAAACCTGTGTGGAAGAACACTGGAAGTCTTTGAAAGCTATGTGGAAAGAAACCTGCACAACAGTATTAGGAAGGAAGAAGAAAGAAGACAAGGAATGGATCTCGATGTATACATGGAAGCTGATAGAGGAGAGGACGATGGTGAAGCAGAAGATAAACCATTGCAAGGATGCTCAACGATAAGAGGAACTGAGCATAATGTATAAAACACTACACTGGACAAAGGAGTGAAGATGAGTGTACGGAAAGACAAAAGACACTTCTACGAAACACTAGCAAGCGAAGCAGAACAGGCTGCCGGCTGGTAAGAGAGAACTGACGACATTGTATCAAATAACCAGGTTGCTATCAGGGAAGAGATCAACACACATGAAACCAATAAAAGATGAAGAAGGAAATTTAATTACGAAAGAAGAGAAACAAAGGAAACAATGGGCCGACCACTTTAAAAAAGCTCTTGAATCGACCACCACCTGCACCTCGCCCAGAAATACCACCTGCAGCCGCTGAATTACAAGTGAACATAAATCCTCCAACGAAAATGGAAGTCCTGAACGCTATAAAGCTACTGAATTGCGGGAAAGCAGCAGGACCAGACGGGATACCGCCAGAAGCACTGAGAACAGACGCAGAGACAACAGCAGACATGCTCACACCACTATTGCAGAAGGTGTGGAAGGAAGAGAAGGTACCTGGTGATTGGAAGAAGGGTTACCTTGTCAAACTGCCGAAGAAGGGAGACCTCAGTGTTTGCAAGAACTGGCGAGGAATCACTCTCCTGTCCACCCCAAGTAAAATATTAAGCCGCATCATCCTGGAGAGGCTTAAAAATGCACTGGATTCGAAACTACAACCGGAACAGGCAGGCTTCAGGAAGTACAAATCATATGCAGACCAAATTGCAACCCTACTCTACGCATCATCATAGAACAGAGCATAGAATGGCAATCAGCTCTCTACCTCAACTTCATCGACTTTGAGAAGGCCTTTGGCAGCGTCGACCGATAAGTAATTTGGAAACTGCTTCACTACTACGGAGTACTGCAAACCTTTATCCGCCTCATTCAACAACTATATGAAGATGCCACATGCCAGCCGAGTAATTCACAATGGACAGCTCAGTGATGATTTTGAAGTGAAGACAGGAGTGAAACAGGGTTGCCTACTATCACCCATGATATTCCTGATTGTGGTCGACTGGATGATGCGGCAAACAGTGAGGAGCGGGAAGAGGGGGATACACTGGACTACGGAAAAGAACCTAGAAGACTTGGATTTCGCCGATGACTTGTGCCTGTTGTCGCATAAACTTGAAGATCTACAGGCGAAAACTAACAAGTTGATAGAAGAGGCAGCGAAGACGGGACTTCAGGTGAATATAGAGAAGACAGAGGTGATGGAGATACCGCACCACCACCATCAACAACAACAACAAACTCCAATCACCGTCAACGGGAGAAACTTAAAGGAAGTAGCCTCCCTCACCTATCTAGGCAGCACTGTTTCAACTACAGGTGGCGGCACAGACGAGGACATCAAAGCCAGCCGGGATCGGAAAAGCAAGATAGGCGTTCATTAGCCTGAAACCAGTGTGGAGATCTTCTGCACTCAGCACAAAGCGTGAACAAGATCCGGATTTTCAACACCAACGTCAAGTCAGTGCTCTTGTATGGCTCAGAGACTTGGCGCGTTACGAAAGGCATTTCCAATAAACTACAGACATTCATCAACAACTGCTTACGCTCGCTACTAAAGATCAGATGAGATGGCCAGAAAGTATAAGCAACAAGGAGCTCTGGGAACGAACCAACCAAGAACCTATCAGTCAACAAATATGCAGGAGGAAGTGGAGATGGATTGGGCATGCACTGAGAAGGCCGACTGAGGGCATCACGCGTCAGGCCCTCGAGTGGAATCCCCATGGGAAGCGACGAGTTGGACGTCCAAGGGTGACATGGAGGAGGTCATGCGAGGAAGAAATGAGAGCTTCTGGGCTGTCGTGGAGCCAGGTCCAAAAGACCTCAGAGAATAGAGGTCACTGGAGACGTGGTACTGAAGCCCTATGTTCCACCAGGAACCCAAGGGACTAATAATAATAATAATAAACAAATTTCGTTTTTACTGCATAGAAAGGTCTTACTAATTGTCATCATCCCGATTTCCATCCTTTGCAGGATGGATTACTGAGGAAGTCAGTGTAGCAAATGCAGTATGCTGGAGAGGATAATGTAAATGGAAAATACCCGGAATTACTGAATTTATTATCATTACTTGTTCATTTCTAATGTTTATATTGTATTGAGGCTTGAAAACGATTAAGTATATCAAGCTTATTTGATGAGATGAGACTTTCTTAAACGTCTTATTTGAAGTATCCATCATTTTTGTGACGCTTAATAAGTTTTATAAGTGTACGGTAAGAACTGGCCGGTTCTCGAACAAGCATGGCGGGGATAATTCACCAGGGCGGTAAACCCACTTCGAGGGAAAACTAGACGATTAAAGGAAAATGAAGCGAACTCAAGGGGGAATGTGGACAGATGAGGGGAAAGTTAACATTAAGGTCGAATAAAGTGACTTCATGATAGAAAAGGAGACCTTCCAGGGAGAAAGCGTAAAAAGGGGAAACAGATGCATTTCACCCACAAACAAATTTGCGGCACGTTCTAATGGTTAACCCGACATAGATGACACGCATTACGGTACAATCAAGATTTGGTTGAATGCTGGGACAAAAAATACATGGGAATCAAAACGAAGAAAAACTTAGGTAATTAACCGACTGTGCTCTTCAAAAAATATCTTCACTAAATTCAAATACCTGTCCAATTAAAATATCGAACATTTCCAGCTCAAACACATGACGCTTAAGTAAAACGCTGGAACTGCGTACATTACGTCTTAGTTATCAGTTCATTTCACTTTTTTACAACAGTAACGTATCTCTGTCAACGAAAACGGGTCTTGCGTCAGCTTTAAGTCAAAAACATCCCTTTTTACAATTATCTTAGCTACGTTAAACTTCATAACATCAAGTGATCGGGAAAAACCTGAAACCTACTTCCATCTACACCCAGCCCACGTAGCGCAAAACGCATAACACAAACTACGCGCTCTTAGGAAATGGGTTGCTTTCCCATATTCAGTTACACAATTGTACTTTTTTGTTTACATATCGAGACTTACTGTAGTTTCGCTTCAGTAAAATGGAATTTTAGAATTAAAAAGAGGGCAGCTTTCTTCGGCAGACTTTTAATACATACGTAGTAGTGTGAGGTACATTTTAGTGTTTCAATATCAATATCTTTCAACGAGCTAGTGTAAACCAGTTGATTTCTTCTCGCTTGCTTCTAGGTCTTGCAGAACGGTTCCAGGTCTTTGGTAGATTCCAGTGCAGTAGGTCTACCCACTCGACTGCTTTAGCTGTGGTTAGCCCAACGGGCGGTTGGGTGTTGTTTAGATTTGTAGGGAGTGTTGTTTGGTTGTTTGCTTTTTCTTCCGAGGACTGTGGTGCAGATGAGTCCCTTATATGTCGTGCCAGCAGACAATTATTCGAACTGGTTGTAAAAAGGAGGTGAAAAATATGTGCAGAGGAATCAAGGGATAGAAAGTGCAGAGAGAGACAAAATAGAAAAAGAAAAGGAAAAAAGGAAGAATAACATATAAAAAAAGATGGGGAAAAAGGAAACGGTACGGAAGAATAAAACACTGGTGGCTTCTTGGGGAATAGGCGATAGAGAGAGCTTTTGTTAAAGTTTGAGGGCGAAAAGTCAGAAGGAAGAATAATAAATAACATGATAGGACGAATGCGAATATAGTAATTCTTTTAGTAGGAGACGGTAACTGGAGGGGACGTCTACAGAAAGGTATAAGGTTGAGCCAAGTTCTCAGTGATAGTGGTTTCACAAAGTGTTCAGTAACGGTTGGTCGTACAGAGTTAGTAAGTCGTGTTAGCCTAGTCCACATCCCAGTTGGATGAGCGCAAGCCGTGGGTCGCTGCTTAACTGCCCAACCTCTTCTTGAAGCTGTCAACAGACGGAGCAGTAGCAATCTCGGCAGGCAATGCGTTCCAGTGGCCACAAACCCGCAGGGAGAAGAAGTGTGATCGCATACCCGTTTTCGCTCTTTAGTGGGCGATTCTCCTTGGGTTACCATGAGGATCGCCATAGTGGCCGTTCGATAGGATTCCACTGTTCGGATGACTTGGGTTACAGAGTATTTTGTAAGCCGTTATCAAGTCACCACGCAATCTACGGTAGCTTAGAAAGTAGAGCCCCAGATCTTTCAGCCTGTCCTGATATGGTTTTTGCCTCATTCCCACAACACCCTTTGCAGCTCGCCTTTGGACTTTCTCCAGGAGGTTCACGTCTCTTTCCAGATATGGTGATGCAGTGATGTTGTGTACCTCTGGTTGGGATAGTATATAGGTCTTATGCGGCTTCAAACGGAGTTCCGGGGCCAGGTCGCCCAACTGCCTGCGCACGAAGTGCAGTACTGCGTAGGCTCTGGAGGCATCTCCTGGATAATTGGGGCTGTTGTCTAGTTTGTCAGTTAGTATTAGTCCTAGGTCTTTCTCTGTGGTGGAGTGGGAGAGTTGTGTTCCACAGAGAGAATTGGGTACTTTCTGAGAGTCTGGGGCGCGGAAAAACATGGCTCGGCACTTATCTAGGTTAAATGCGAGTCCATTAATATCCGCCTACCCTGCAAGTAATCTGAGATCACTTTGCAGTGCACTTGATTCTGTTTCCGTCGTCGCAGCTCTCCATAGCTTAACATCATCAGCGTAGAATAGAATCGGGGAGCTGAGATTCAGTGGGAGGTCGTTCACAAAAAGAAAGAATAGCAGTGGATCCAGAATCGCCCCTTGTGATACACCAGATGATGGTGTCCTGCAAGTCGAGCAAACTCTGTTGGCTTTATGCAGAATTGTCTGCCGTCTAGATAGTCCTGCAACCATGAAAGCACTTGCCCATTGATGCCCAAACCTTCTGTTTTGTTAATAAGAACGGTGTGTGGAACTGTGACGAAGGCCTTAGTAAAATCCAGGAAAATAACATGCACAGGAATTTGGAGGTCCCAGCATGCCGTCCACATATCACCTGTCACCAGAATGTTTGTGGCACAGGACCTACTCTTTCTGAAACCATGTTGAGCATCACTAAGTGCTCCCCTCTTTTCTAAGTAACTCCTGACGTGGTCGTCTATCAGGATCTCCATTACTTTCGACACCACTGGTAGAAAGGCTAAGGGTCAGTAGCATTTTGGGTTCTGCCTGTTTCCACCTTTGAAGATAGGGGACGGAATAGCACTTTTCCACTCTTGTGGAAGCATGTGATTGTCTAAGAAGTGTTGAAACAAGTTACACAATGGACCGCACAAGGCACCCGCGCACTGTTTCAGCACAGCCGGTCGGATGTCATCACACCCTGATGATTTCCCCGCGCGGAGATTTGACAGTTTTTCGAAGACCATGGCAGGAGTTACCTTTATTCCAGGCGACCCTAATGCGTTTCGTGGCGCTGAATTTCGGTTGGACAGTTGGAAATTTTGGTTCAACTGGGACGCACTGAGTTGCATGTCGAGGGTAGCGCTAGGGGATTCGGCGATCTCTAGTCCGGGGAGGTTCTCTCCTTCTAGGCCTTTATAATAATAAATATTCCGTACAACAAAGGTTACATGAATACAAACCAGTTCACTGGTTTGATCATTTTGGCAATGAGAAACGACTATTACATACAATGTCAAGCTACATATTAGATACCGTTATTTATGGCATATAAGAGGTGTGTTGAAGCAGGCTCAGTTCGAATTTGATGATTATCCGGTTATCGTTTGAACCATCCAATATTCTTGGAGGTGAGACCGCATCACAGTCATGACCTTGAGGTGTGCGCGTTCGTCATAACGTTTTGATGGCAATATTTCCCACCGACAAATGCGATTTGTAGGATTCCATTTGAATGCGGGACTGGTTAGGTAAACCTGAAAAGTGAATAACAAAAGCGAGCAGCAGGCGAAATTCGAAACAGGAGCACAAAAATACGCAGGAGTAGATCAACCATGGTACATCTGGGTGAGTTTTCTGTGCCGACTGCAAAACGTACTTCAAGAAATATCCAAAACCAACTGTTTAGAGGTAAGCTGGGTGGGAAAAGATGAAGGTGCGCACGACAGTTATGAAAATCGGTCTGAAGCCGAATATATCACTACGAAATAGAGAGATTAGAGGATTTTGGACCAGGTATTCACTTGTTATATACCTATATACAAGCGTTTGATGAAGTTATAAACATTCAAGTGAAATTCATGGTTTTTTTAAGACGGTAACCACCCTTTATCTGGTCACGGGGGGGGATGATCATGGTGTTGCCTGTTGAGTATTACCAGATCGGGGCTACCGAAACTATGTTGGTGCAGAGTACTTACATGTAAGTACTGACAACAAAGGGCAAATAATAAAGTGTTGCATGCTATGAAAATGCACCGACAGACAGTTCTTTTATCTTTTCGGAGTGGAGAGATTATTTTAAGGGACGAATTTTAGGAAATAGGTGTTAAGTCGTGGGATCAGCCGGGTTATGAAGAAAAGTAGGTTACATTTGAGTAGCTACTGAGTTCACTGTTACATATCGTATCGCACTCCGCTTCCTGCTTACTCTTGGTCATTTTTTTCAAAGAAATTAGATTTTAACTTAACTATTGCGTTTAGTTTTCGGCATTGTATACTTATGTCATTGCTGTTAGTCTCCCTTGAGTCTAGGTACCAGTAGTACCTTAGTACATGGCATTACCGTTTGTGGTTTGGCCGTCAACGAATTGATGAGATTCGTTAGATAGGAGGAATTTACTAAGTAGTCGTTGAAACTGGCCGAGCGAACGGCATGCTCGTATAGGAGCGGGAAGTTTGTTCCACAGCATACTGTATTGCGTTATGAAAAACCTACATCGAAGTTTTGAGCGATACTTATTTATTGGGATGATGTTCTCGCTATTACGCAGATTATATGCCTGTGTTGTTTTAAAAGTGACAGCACATTTCGTTTTAGGGTTTGTAAATAAAAGACGAAAAAGAAGTGTTAAGTTGAGCTTCAGGCGTCTCAGCCAGAGTGATTCTAGTCCTAGTTTTTTGCATCTTGCTTCGTAAGGAAGTCCTTCGTTATGTATTAGTAGGCGCCGAGTAAAGTTCCGTTGAATGTTCTCTACTCGAATTCTGTCCGACACATTCATGCTACCATAGATAACGGTGCAGTACTCTAATATTGGGCGAACCATAGCCTTGTACAGTATAAGTTTTGCCTCAGGTATGAGTATGTTTCTGTGTAGAAGACCGATGAGTCTTCTGCCCTTGGAAACTACTGAGTCTGCATACTCCGTAAAAGTCAAACTTCTGGAGTAAGTGATTCCGAGGTCTTTCACAGTGTTGTATACCTGCAGTGCAATATCACCCAAGTGTAGCGTTACTTCTGGGTGGGATTTATTGAAATGGAGGATGCCACTTTTATTTGGGTTTAGAGGGAGCTGCCAGGTCTCGCTCCATATGAATATCCTCTTCAGATCTTCTTGTATTTGAGAGAAACCCTGTGTTAGTGCTGCAGGAGAAAAGCTGTAGACTATCTTCAAGTCGTCAGCGAAAAGGTAGGGTATGCCATTTCGGATAACACTGCAGATATCGTTTACATAGATTAGGAAAAGTATCGGTCCTAGCACACTACCCTGGACGACACCACTTTGTATAAGTCTAGGGGTGGAGTAGCAATTACTGAATTTTACTACTTGGAAGCGACCCTCTAAAGATGTTCTGAGCCAGGACAGTAACGGGTCTCGGAAACCATATGATTGCAACTTAGTGACCAGGCGTTTGTGAGGCACCTTATCGAATGCTTGCTTGAAGTCTAAGAAAAGGGTAGTTACAAATAGGCCTTGGTCACGCTTGCTTGTAACGTTGTCTAGATAGTCAAGATAGCTTGTAGTGCATGACCGGCCTTTCAAGAATCCATGTTGTGCTGGTGAGAGTAATTGGTTAGTCGTCATATAGTCGACAACTGCTTTCACAATCACCTTTTCCATAGTCCTGGATACTACTGACGTGATGTTTATAGGTCGGTAGTTTTCTATATTAGAT